TTCTTTTTTTACCAATCTTGTAAAAAAATAAATAAATAAAGTTAATGGACTAATAAAACTAAACACTCGAAATCAGGATATCCAAGGAGAAAAGTAAATCCTCTCATACTTCCCGTATGGAAACTGTGGACCTTACTTCGCCAGCAAAGAAGATAATTATGATTTGGTTTTGAGGAAACATTTGCCGTTTTTTAACTGCTATGAGAACAGACTGATTATAACCATATATTCGCCGCGATGGAGTTCATAGTTATGCTATGTGAATTGTGGGACTCTGTATACTTACTATAAAATATTTTACGCAAATACTGATCCTTTTTTGGGTACCAAATAATTTAATTACTACTTCAGTTGATATCAAGCGATTACCTGAAGTAGTTAATTAATTCACAATAGTGATTCAATTTCAGTAAAATACTCAAAGTAGCATTCGCCCATCTCTGCTTGATACTATTTCACTTTGTTAAAATCAGATTTGCATAAGTTCATACCTGATCCATCAACATTTAATAATAAAGTAACATTATCTTCCTAGTTACAAATAAAAAGAAGTAAAAGGCGATTCCAATTATTGGACTAAACATTTTTTTTTAATCATTAGTAATATGCTAAAAAAAGTATCATTACTTCAGGTAACACATTCGAAAATCAAAAACCAAAACAAAGGATATAACCTTTGCATTAGACCATATAAAAACCATCTAAAGACCATATCATTGCTCCTAATTGTCCGATTTTAACAATTTTTTTTTTCTTTTATGAAGTTCCGTAACTTTTATATAACCATACAATATCGACAAAATGTGTATACTTTTTGAGTTATTACGAATCTAATTTAACCATCCCTCGTAACTTTTTTCCAGCTTCTTTTTGTTGAAGTATGTTATGTATATAAATTTAAAGGACATCGAGAAGAAGACTTTAGCGAAGTTTCATTGAAATCGGTATATTCTTTTAGGCGCTACAGTCTGTAGCAACGCGGGTTTTTCGGTCGCCATCTTGAAAAGAAAATGTGGATAGAAATGTCGATGGAGGATCATCCTCGGGTGACCTCAAATTTGAAAAGAATCGGTCTGAAAAGAAGCAGTAGTTTCGGAGTAAATACGATAAATATAAAATATTCCGCGCGGACGGCGGACGGACAAAAAATTTTTTATTTGTTTTTCGAATGCTATGTATCCTGAAACGTAATACCTCAAATTTTGAGAGTGGGTTAAGTTTTTGATTTTTTTGTTCAATCACAATTGTTCACTATTGAATAATAATAATAAACAAGTAGGTGTATAATACAGCGAAATTCAGCGACCTTTCTACTTGAGTGTTGCGCTGTATAATGACATACTCAACACAGACCTCATTCCACCTCATACGTTAACCCTGGTATTACGCAAGAACCAATCCTGAATCCATTCATATCAAATCAACATCATATTTATACCCAACTTCGTAATCTTTAGTTATATCAGCTAGTTAATTCGTATTTTGAAACAGAACACAAAATTATGAAAATAAATAAGATATATTTTTTAAAAAGTAAATGAGGGCAAAGTCTATTCAGGCGTGGGCTATTAAAGAGAGTCAATCAAAAAGATTGCTAGCCCTAGAAATGGACTATTGTAGGCGATCATGTGCTATCTCTCTCCTTCAAATAGTTCCAAATAGCGATTAGGAAACAATTGGAATGAATGAAGAACTTCCTCCACACCACGAATTTGAGATTTTGAACCGGAAAGAAGACGGAAGAAAGGTCGCTTGAGGAGTAACTGGTATGAGGAAGCCGTAGAAGGAATGATGAACAGAGGAATGCACGAAGAAGACTGGCATAACAGAAGACGGCAAAGAGTTTTAGTTGGTGACGACATGTGACTAATGTTGTATAATCGTTAAATAAAATACATAAAAAAATGAGAGGGAAAAATTAATTTTTAAACATTTATTACTTGAAATAATGCTTATTCTATTTATAAAACTTTATGAATTTTGTTTCAGAATACATCTCTATTCAAAATTTGTATTATTTAATTTTCAGCATATTTAAAATATACAGATGAAGAAAATTTATTAATCCTTATTTTAAAAAGTCCAATGGGCATCAATTTTAGTTTATAACAAAATTTTTAATATTTTTGCTATCAATTTAGTTCTTCAAAATTATTTTGAATTCTGTTATCTAGCTTTATGAAAAAAATTCTCCTATTTAATGTCAGTATAGCTTCATCATTTCTACGGGTTGCATAATGACATATATTACGAGGTTTATGATTTGTCGTTTCGGAATAAAATCTACAAGAAAAGCCGTTTTAGAAATATAGGCGTATCGAGAAAAATAAGTTTGGGAATATTTATGTATTTTTGTTTACGAATTATATATGCGTGTATATATGTAATAAGATAAATAATATATTCTAAAAAAAGGTATGATGAAAACGCTATATTGTAAATTGTTTATTAACATTTTCGAATAAACTTTTTGCTTGCAGTATAATGTTACTTAGCTGTACTCCGTTTAAAACATGACAGCGTTTAAAATACTATCTTGTTCATTTTAATGTTTGAAGTGTGACTAACTTATGTTCTTTTTTTTATGTCAATTTGACTTTCGTCATTATGTTCATACATTAGCAGAGCCCAAACATAATGGGAGGTTCAGGCTTATTGTACCGGGACCCGGTTTGATAAGAAGGATTTTATAATTAATATTTAATAGATTGTTAAAAGTGAAATATAATATGATACTATATCATGAAGTGTATCGTATATGATATTAACTGCTATAGCATATTTATTTATATATAGATATAAAAATATTTATTTACAAACAAAACACATGTATAAAAAATTACGTGGAAAGCTACGTTAACCACCCCGCACTAAAAATGTGGTTGTCCTTTATATTACACCTGCAAATTGCCACATTAAATATTCATTAACGATTAAATATTCATAGCCAATTTTTTATTATTAATCTTCAGTCTTGGTACTTTAACATTGTGTCCATATGACACAATGTTATATTATTCAATAAATAACTAAATAAAAAAAAAATGAAAAACGTCTTTATCTAAGTACCACGTAATACACTTTCAGATCCAAGACCCAAGCCCACATATATTCCCTATATATTCCTTATCATAAATCTGTTCACGTTAATAAATTCTTTATCACGTGTGCTACCTGGTTTTGGAATTCCTCATCTATGCGTAAAATCATACGTAAAATAAAATTCCAACACCGATTATTTTTCCATCTCATCAGCTACCAATATTCCAAATATATATAAAAATAAAGTTTTTGGAATTCTAATAAAACGAATCTATTATTATACTGTTGTAGCTATATTGCTGTTGTTAATTTTATTTCGTTAATTAATTATTTTGTAACCACTGATTCATGCCAGACCAACGTAACTGTAATTATACGCACCCACTTTTTTTTTGGAAAAATAAGTGGACCGGAATAAAATTTACTTTTCTTTCTTTATTCCAAAAATTCGTTAGATTTTGGCTAAAAGTAGAAGAAAGTTGGAGAAAAATGTACAGATGGTTTAGTATGAATATCATCATATAAGTTATTTAGTTATATTATTGTAATAGAAATATTTATATACATTATGCAGCAGTAGTGTAGTTTAAAATTTTAGAATTTTCATATTCATTTTGGTCCATCGCAAAATGAATATGAAATATTAGGATAGGAAGAGGGTTATATTTTAATAAAATTAGTCGTATGGAACATTATATTAAAATAAATTATTGATGTATAATGTTAATGCAAATATTAAAATAAGGTTAAATAAATAAGAGATTATTTATTATTTAATGTTCGTAAAACTATTTACAATTCATTTTAGTAGTAATCAATTATGTGGAAATTTATTTTAATTGATTTACTACCCACTACCATGATTTTGAGAAGAACCCACTATTTTTCATACAGCTTCAACTTAAACCAGTTCTGATGATTTTTTCCCCTCACAATGGAAGATAGAAAATCTTTGTATTCGTCTTGAAAATAAAAAAAATATATATTTTACCTTAGAATTGCAAAGTTTCACTTTTTAGTTTTAAGACATAGCGAAACCAATTTGATTCCTAGTCTGTCTGTTTGCAGGCAGATCTATGCGATGAGCTTATCTTTTTGTAATTTTAAGCCGATTTAGATGAAACTTTTAGGGACTGTGTAGGTTAGTATATAAATAGTTCAACATCATGGGTGATAAATATTCAGGACGCAGTCTTTTTAAAAAAAATTTTAATTTTGTATTTATGGCAACGTTTCAACACAAACATGTGGGTCATCTTCGGTGCTCAAACCACGCCCTGAAGATGACCCACATGTTTGGGTTGAAACGTTGGCATAAATACAAAATTTTTTTAAAAAGACTGCGTTCTGAATATTTATCACCTATGATATGTAGAACATTCGACTATCTTCCTTCAAGAGTTCAACATCATATTTATCAAATCCCATACACTAATTAAAAATTACAAATAAATTAATTATAGTTATTTATTATTATTATTATTTTTGTTACTGAACACTCCAACCATCTTCTCTCCAATTATTCACTACAGCCAACCGTCAGTCCACTATTAGAAAATATAATATTTTTCCATTCTGAGGGGAGTGCTCAGTCCGTTCGGCCCGAAAGCAATTAAATTATTTTTTTTAAAAAAGCAAAAGAAAGTAATTATCGGTATAATTAATGATCAGGACATGAATCATATACCATGATGAGTTAGTGAATTAAATATATGGTAAATATTTATAAAATACTAAATATAAATATTAATATTACAGTCTGAATATTTTTCTTCATCTGCTAGTGGTTCAGTCTTAGTGGTAGGTACAGTTGTTCTGGTGTGAGAGTATAGTCTCATTGTCTTGTACATAGTGTATTGGTACCGCTCTGAATTTTCAAGATGAAGACTGCTGCTAGAGGTTTAGTAACTAACCAATAGGATTCATTTATCTTATTCTCCTTAAAGGGTGGTACTCACCATATCGTCGGCCACGATGAAGACGATGTTGGGACGGTCAGTGGTGGCCAGGACTCCATACCCGAAGAAGAGGAGTACGACGTGAAGACACTCTAACATAGCGCCGCGTTGTGTTGAAGAGTGACTTCCACACCGTACCTCTTTCTATCCTTCCCCCACTACCCCGGATACACCATGATAGCTATCTTTTATTCCTCCAGTACACACCTTGGCCATAAAAGTTAATTGTAATTTAATTCGGAATTTGAACTAATCGTTGTCGTATTCATTAACATCTTAAGTTTTTTTTTATTTATTCTTATTTTTTTATTATTATTGAAATTTACAACTGTGTAAATGATAAATACAACAAGTAAATTTGAAACAAGTAACATGAATTGAACAACATGAAGAGAAATTACCCATTGGTAGCTTTCCAATTATATTTCTATATTAGAAGGTCCCAAAGCCATGTTCTTTTCAGACACCTCGTAGGGTATTCAGGGATAGAAGAGGAAGCAAGGTTGGAAACAACAGGGTTCGGATTATTCAGACAGGATTGAGCTAAATCGGAAACATATAGTATATTAAGGTCGTTATGGATGATTTTATTTGTGACAAAGTAGGGAGAATTGAGGATTTTACAAAGGATTTTGGATTATAAGAATTGGATACGAGAGAAATTTGATGATTTAGTAAAGCTCGGTCCCCTAAGTCCAAATAGGCATTATTATTGTAATATATATGAGTCTTTTGTATAGAGTTGGAAGTTTAGAGCGTTTGTCTAGTAAGTGCTGCAGTAGTCGAAAACGTCGAGCGGTTTTAGTAGTTTCAGTCTGGTATGAGGGTTCCAAGTGAGTCGTTTGTCCAGGTGGAGTCCTAGGTATCGGATTTGTTCAACATGGATTAGTGGGCTATTGTTGAAGGATACTGTAGGACAGGAAGTCGTAGTTTACGACGAAGAGTAAACGTAATTTGAGGGGATTTATTGGAATTTATTTTAATCCTCCAGTTATGACACCATTTTTCAAGACTTGTGATGTGTGATTGGAAGGTTTGGGATGTAATAGATGGATGGTTATTAACTGATAAGATACACGTGTCATCGGCGTAGGTGGTGATGACAATCTTGTATTGGGTTGGGATGTCAGCTGTATAAACTGTGTAAAGGATAGGACCTAGGATAACATCTTAAGATTAAATACAAGATTCTTCTTTATCAAGACGAGTAATAATGTTTTTGTATACAAACAGTTTCTTATTAACTTAACATGTATTATATCAAAGGCTTTGGTCTGCAAATATGTTTTTCAAATGTTATTTGGCAATGAAAATTATTACTATTTCTTTTATTTTTTGACGAATAAAATGCTGCAAACAGGCTTTTCGTCAAGGAGAGATATGGGGGCCAAATCCTTGGGGTCTGTGCTATCTGAGCGGTCACGAAAAAAGGATGTGCGGTATAAAAGTTTGTTGAACGAGTGGATTGTCTAATTTAATAATACTTTTGTTGTCTGTAGTTTAAAAAGAATACACCTTGTCTATTTAGTCTGGGTAAGCAAGAACATTGAATTTTTATTCCATTATTCAAGTTTATACTGTTATGTTAAGGTGTTATTTTAGTATGTGTATTTTTAAATTTATTTTTATTAATTTTTTTATATTGTTTCTTCGCAGTGTGATTATTTTGCATTTAATTTATTATTATGGTTAAAAGGTGATAATTTACTTTACTTATTTTAAAAATTTATTTTATTTCTTACATACATTCTTTGTATTCAATATTTCGTTATTTAGTTATTATTTTAATTATGTTTTATTTGGCGAATTTACATTTTTTGAAAATATGGTATGAATGTATTCTTTTCTTATTATATTTATCGTCCTCCAATATTACAGAATGTTGTACTACACAGCAAATTAAAGTAATTTAGTTATAAAATTGTATTGTATTTTATGTAATATTGTCTTACTATCCATAAGTAAAATATATAATTCATAATACATACATAATAAAAATAATTTATCAATACAATTTAAATATCTATATATATTCAAAGGCTATTGGCTAAATTATTTTTAAATTGAAAAAAAGCCTAACTATAAGATTGTATATTACATATTAACTATATGTTTTTATTATTTTATTCATACAATTTTTAACAACATTTCTATAACTAAGGAGTGATGCTTTGTAATTGAATAACGGATAATTAACAGTAAATGTAAAAATCTGTCTAAAAAGTCAAGCATAAATTATATTTTCCAGTGTGTATTGTCCATGGTTTCAAGTTTTCCATATTTTGTCTTTGTAGGTTTTTTATTAATGTATTAATCTCTTCGTATGTGTTTCCTGCTGATTCAATTACAATTTATTTATTTATTCTAATCAACAAACTAATTTTTCTTCTTCTTTAACTCGTATTAAAATATACAAGAATAAAAAAGCACTGCTAAAAGAAGTTCCACATGGTTTGATTATATTTATTTTTTTGGTCCTTTTATTAATTTTTGTTGTTTTTCGACTCCAACAACAGGATTTGCGTAGAGAAAAAATCGTCTTCTGAAAACAGACAAATTCAGTTACCTACGCTAAAAATGCAATTAATGACCAACTGTCGGTAATAGACCAGCGTTTAAGAAGCACAAACAAAGTTTTAAAAGTATTTAAAAACATATCTATAAATTTCAAATTAATGTTGTACAACACTATGATAAAGCATATACTCTAATGTACTGTTGCGAAATCTTGAATCTAACTATCACCTTGGAAAGAAGTATTGAAAAATTTGAGATAAAAATCCTCCAAATGATATCCGGAGCGATAACTATAGAACGATATAGTATAGATGACTACTATTGAACAACTTACATTAAATGACCAATAAATATCTCATAATACCAAGGCAAGATGGTTAAATGGGTGGAGCATGTAGCTCGGAGCAATCCATCAGGAAGTCTACACAATGAATGCCTCAATAGTAGACCAGAGACGACGCAGAAGGCCAAAAACCAGATCGATAGATCCAATCAACAAAAATGCTACAGAGTTTTTTGCCGATAAGAGGAAAGAAATAGCCCGAAATGAGTAGCGATAGAGAAGGCTTGTTATTAAGGCGCCAAAAATTATCTTTCCAGATTCCTTCTTTAAAGGCTTCATTTATTATATCTTTTCCTGTTAATTTTTTTATAGTAATTATTTGATTTTTTAAATATTGATACAGATTATTACGGTGATGAAGATGGCAAACAGATAAACAATCCATTAGTGGTCTCTGCAGTTTAATATACGTCAGAAGGCGTTGAAGAACAGAATGGGGTAGAGGAAAGACGCAAGCAAGATCTCTACAGTCTTATTTTTTAAATTGCGAAATAATTATTTGTAATATCTTTTCCATATGAAATCGGGGGACAAGATAATTTAAAAAAATGTTTCGATTGAACATCATTATCATCATCAATTGTAACTACAACCCTTCACTGGCTCCTATGCTCCTCAAGTAGCTTTCGCCAGTTAATTTGTATTTGCAGCTGTCGAACACCAAGTAGGTTCTTCCAATACTCTGTTACCGTCGTATAGTGGAGGCCGATCGACGATATAGGAGGACAAAATATGATAAATGTAATATATCATCCTTTTTATAATCCTATCATCCCAGTTAGTGACTTAAAAGTAATATAGTAAAATTACAAAGTTCGATTAAGCTCTCACAGTAGGGTACGGAAAAGTAAGGTTCGTGCGAGCAAGCCTTTAGTCCCACTAGTTGACAAATAGATCCAGCATTACTTTATTTTTATTTAAGATCAGTGTCTGTGTATGGTATTGGTTAATGGACTGCTTTTGACAGTTCAGTTAAATATCTTTCTTTTTCACCGGATTAATTTAGGTTCAATAAGTTACATGTTGGTTACCATTACCTTTAAAAAATGGCTATCATCAGACCTTTTAAATACCTAAACAACAATTTTACAATATATAAAATATCCTTCCTACAATTATCATTTTTGTTACTATCCTGTAACTTTTGGTTTATTATTTTAAATAATCAATCATTGTAATCGACCAAAAAATTCAAAAACTTGACCCCTATCAAAATTTGAGGTTTCACGTTTCAGAATGCGTAGAATTCGAAAAACGAATACAAATTTTTTTGTCCGTCTGCCGTCCTCGCATTTCCTCCGAAACTACTGGACCGATTTTTTTCAAATTTGGTTATAAAAACAGAGGTCACCCGAGGATGATCCTCCTTCATCCTCATTACCATCCGCCATTTACTTTCAAAATGGCGACCGAAAAAACTGCGTTGCTATAGTCTGTAGCTCCTAAACGAATGTACCGGTTTCAATGACATTTCGCCAAAGTCATTTTCCCGACGCCCTTTAAATTTATATATAACTTCAACGAAAAGAAGGTGGAAAAAAGTTATGAGGGATGGTAAAATTAAATTCCGAATAACTCAAAAAGTTTACACTTTTTTGTTATTGTATAATTAGCAATATTGTATATATTTTTTTAAGTTTACGGAATTTCCTAAAACAAAAAAAAAAACAATCGTTAATATCGGAGAATTAGGAGCAAAGATATGGTCTCCAGTTTTTTTTTTATGTTCTACTCCTAAATGTTATATCCTTTGTTTGGATTTTAAATTTTGAATATGTCACTGATGTGATGCTATTTTTTTTAGGATATTACTAAAGATAAAAAAAAAGTTTAGTCCAATAATTGGAATCACCTTTTATTTATTTTTCTTTGTAACTAGGAAGATAATGTTACTTTAGATGTATAGTTGTTTGTAAATAATAAACCATTGTGAAATAATTTGCAACGTTTTTTTTAATATTCTTAAGAAATAATCATAAAATTGTTCACAGCTTTACGATAAGCATAGTTTTTTTAATTATTTCAGAAAGCGTAAACAAAAGTTCTGGGCTCATTTTTTTGGGGGATAATATTTACAAACTGTGTAGACAAGGAGAAAAAAAATGAAATAAATTGCAGTTAGGAAGTGTTTATGAGGGGCCATAGATAGCTTTCTAATGATGTTGATTATAAGGTTGAGAAAATAGATAAAATAAATTTGAATATTTCTGTATTGATTTTTCTAATATTAATATTATTGTTATTTTCGTTTATTTTTTGGAATTATTATTTTAAAATTAAATTTTTATGAAAAATT